GCCCAGCCGGTGTACATGTGTTTTGTGGACCTAGAGAAAGCGTATGATCGGATCCCACGCAACAGTCTGTAGACATGCCTTCGTACATACGAGATTCATGGCTAGTTGCTGAGGGCGATCCAGTAGTTGTATTCTGATAGCAGGTGCTGTGTCAGAGTTAATGGCGTTAAGTCGAAACCATTCGGTGTTCGCACTGGTCTCCGTTAAGGCTGCGTCCTGTCCCCTATCCTGTTTGAATTATACATGGACAGAATAGTCAGGAGCTGCCAAGGCGAAGAGGGTATCGGTATAGGAGATGTGAAGTCGAGAAGGCTGCTGTTTTCAGACGACGTTGTTTTATTAGCATCTTCTGAAACTGCTCTCCAGTGCTCCTTAGAAAGGTTCGCAGCCGTGTGCGACGTAGCCGGCATGCGTGTGAACGCATCTAAAACGAAAAGCCTAGTGCTTTCTCGTTCTCCTGCCCGTTGCTCTCTTCATATTAAAGGAGAGGCGGTGAAGCAGCTTGAGAAGTTCAAGCACCTCGGAATTGTATTTGCTAGTGATGGAACATTTGAAGAAGAGATCGACCGGCGAATTCGAGTAGCCAGCGGCGTTCTGCGTGAATTAGCGCGACTGATGATGACTAAAGCAGAGCTCAGTCTGAAAACTAAGCTCTCAATATTCAAGTCGATCTTTATCCCCATACTCACCTACGGCCATGGATCGTGGACCATCACTGAAAAACTTCGATCAAGGTACGAGCTGATGAAATGGGCTTTCTTAGACGAGTCGCCGGCCTTACGCGTCTCGATATGGTCCGGAATAGTGACATCCGTAAGACCCTTGGTATACAGCCTTTGCTTCTGCAAATTGATAATCACAGCTGCGATGGCTTGGGCACGTGTTGCGAATGCGTCCAGAAAGGAAGGCTAAGCAACTGTTCCTTGTAAATCTGACCGGCAAAAGGCCCAGGGGACGGCCAAGATTAACCTGGCGGAAACATATGGAAGGAGTCTGTTCCAGGCTCAATTTGTCTTTTGCCGAAGCTCAGACTCTGGCACAGGATCGGGAAGGTTGGAAGCACTGTCTGACGCGTCTGCCTGGGCGACCTGAAAGGAGAAGCGGCGATGGAAGATGAAGATGTTAAGTAGCTCCAAAAATAAATAATTTTTTGACTGGACTTAAAACCTTCTCTATAGCAAAAACTGTAGAAACATATTACTAAATAAATATATTCGCTCAATTTTTACGCATTTGGCCATTGGGTTATTCAATTTTCTGTTCCAGGTGGTTCATTCTTAAGATATTTGTACTAAATCTATTATGAATTTCCGAAGATACTTGTGTAGATAGATTGGCGATGGTATACATTGTGACATGGTACAATGTAACGAAAGTAAAAGCCATTGCTTCTAAAAAATCATCAAAAACTTCTGCTTGTTAATACAGATAAAATTGATGTAGATTAATTGATGATGTTATGATGCAATGGCGTTGAACGCAATACCTGTCTGATAGAATGCAACAAGGATTTCCTAAATCTAGCGTTTTAACATTGAAATATTCATGTTTTTCGGGATTAGCGACCATCATTAAATCATTGTCAACTTATTAAGTGTATAGTGCAGAATCAATACATATTTGTTATAACGAATAATAAACATCAGATGGACAAATTAAATGAGAAATGAATAGCGAAAAACAGAAAGATTTCAATTTTGTGTACAGCGATGATCAAAGAGAAATTTTGCAGGAAAACACATTAGGTACAAATGCTGACGAGCGAGTCTCAGAAGTTCAGATTATTGCAACAATTTTTGGATCATTGGATCGAACTTGTGTAGAGCGTCGTCTAAATTTGCGGTTCAACTAATGACAGGGAACCATACCTAAGTGTTGACAGTGATAAAGTGAATAACACAGCATCTTTGACTGGGTTTGATTAATAATTCTAGAGTTTGGAAAGCTGTTTTTCTTAAACTGCATTCATTCTGCCTTCAACTTTGCGGCTTTCGTGGCATTTCTCACGTGACCTCGTCAGTGGTCAAGTTGGCGCACGCCCTCAGACACGAGGCACTCGCATTCGCAGTATAGGCAGCTGATCGAAACTCACCCATGAGGCATGGAACAACGGCTACGTCTCTGAATGACATGACGATTATAAAGGCAGAAAACACAAGACATCACGTGATGCACAATGGATTGATTCAGTTAGCCTCAGCAGTATTGATGTTTCGTACTGTGTACCTTCTAATGGTGAATGGATCTCTATTTCAACAGTAATGATATCTGTCTGGATTCGCAATACATTTGAAACGAGGGCAAGTGATCGGTCATACGTTGAAAAACTGTCATCATTCGTCACTTTGCTTGTGAATAAAAGACACAGTGTTATATCCTGCGTCAGATCTGCCGTTCCTGTCCTTTACTCGTGACGCCGCCAATGACGCATAGTTATGCCCATTGCACGGAGTCACTGTTCCATTCCTTTTCATCTCGGTTTTAGAGTACACGTCTTGGCAATGACTTGACGTTCTCATAGCCTGGCAAATACCGTAATTTCCGCCTTCTGTACTTCTCTAGAATTTTGCGTTGAATTTCAAATTCTATATTTCTTAAGAATGAATCAATGATTTTCAGGCTCGATGATGCGTATTCAGTTTCTACTCCACCGATGACTTAAACATTGCTTCCATACTTCCAACTACTCGGATCAGAGGCTTTACAAGTTTCAACACCGAACTCAGATTCAGTCGATAAGCACATAATTAACGAACTGTTCCGACTGATTTTTAAAAAACCAGCAGATTGGGAGTAACATGATGATTAGTCCAAATCACTAGGTCAAAATGGTGACTGGAGCAACTATGTGAGATATAGTAAATTATTTGTGTACGCCTTGAATATGTAAAAAACGTTTTGACACCTCTGATGATGGGCTTTCAAGTACGCACGATTTAACCGATACATTCAATGGAAAACAAGTCGTGTACATATAGGAAACGGTTATTTCCCATGGCCTGATGGGTTGAAGGAATAATTGCACTGGCACGTTTTGTCCTGACCGATCGAGCATTAAACTATTAACCTCCAACTTTGAATATGTCTTCCTGCACCTTTTAACTATGCCAGTGTTGAAGGGTGTCAAAGATATTAAATTTCTCAGACATAAGATTTCACTCTTTGAATGTACCGTAGTAAGCAAACAGTAGAAAACCATATTTCTAAAGGTAATACTTCAGGTGTTAACTACAGGATTAAAATCAATTACAGTGAGCCTTAGTTGAGCAACTGGCAGATGAGTGCTTGCAACCTCGTTATCAAATTTTATGAAGGATCGTATTGATATAGATCTTTATATAAATCTAGCAGAATTTTTCTTAGATTGAAACCTTCTGATGCACTGATTTTTAGCAGAGAAAAGAAAGTTCAAAGTCAACATACATTACTGAAAGGTTAACGCTGCCTGAAACAATAATATTATCCATTCCTGTAGCGAGCATTAAGTAGGTGCAGAGAAATGGTACTAGTTCAAGATAGGAAGTTAAAACAGACTACAGATTTTAAAATATAGCGGTTTAAATTGGCTAGATCTACGGCCAATAATATATGACGTTTGATGCTTTGAATCCGTTAGAAGATGCAGTGCAGCTGTTTTGCACTATGTCTTGTTGAACAGAAAACTACTATGATTCTTTAACTTATAGCTCGAATCCATTTCCACCTCAGTCGGGGCTGGAGCCATTGCCAACATTGAATCTCTTTGATGATTACGTAAGACATCGCCTACGGTTTTGGTGCTCATCTATTATGGCCGTAAAGTATTCAACCGATCTGACCTAGCGGGATTTGAACATCTTTCGACAAAAATGACAAAGCGTATATACACGCATATGGCATAGTTAATACAATATAGAACAATACTTTCCAGGAAAGATTAAGGTAAGAGTTGGTAAACATGTTTAACTCTGTGAAACAGTGTGCTTATTAAAAATTATGAGGAGGACCCTAAATTTGGATTAGACGAAAGTCACCAATCAACGATCGATGTACTCTACATCTCTGGTCAGAGAAACAGAGCGAATGACGGCTGCGTCAGCACATTTAATAAACGTTAAGATATTGAACTTAAAACATTGATCATTTTGATCGATGGCACTGATCTGACATATTTTGCCTGACATGTAACGATGTTAGCTTTAACGAAATTTGTCAGTAGATTTAATAATAATTAGGCTCATAAAGTGTGCTCTGATGATTGACAATAATGACTG